CTCAAGTTTACTTTTCCAACAGGAAGGAAGGAAGGAAGGAAGGAAGGAAGGAAGGAAGGAATCTTCCCATCTACCTATCTCAAGGTACTAAATTAATGCTCAAATATTTCTTACTATGTGTGCCCCTCCTTGGACACTCCCATATTGCAATTTGGGGGGGGGCGCCTTCGAGTCAGTCTTGACCCTGGGCGACTGCCTGGACTAGTCCCTGCAGTTTTCTTGGCAAGTTTTTTCGGAAGTGGTTTGCCACTGCCTCCTTCCTAGGGCTGAGAGAGGGGGACCGGCCCAAGTCGCCCAGCTGGCTATGTGCCCAAGGCAGGACTAAAACTCACGGTCTCCTGGTTTCCAGACTGGTGCCTTAACCACTACACCAAAGCGGCTCTCTAGGCAAATAATTTATGGCAAGTGATTTGCTGTCCTGTGTGTCCTTTTCCAGATCAAGACACCCCAAAATGTGGGGCCCGGGAGAACAGAAGAGAGAATGTGGTATTTTCAAACTGAAGCATGGTAAGGAAAGTGTGCCTAAATTTTCCCTGGTATAGAAACTCTGAAGAAGTCCACAAGCCACTGCAATCACAAGCACATTGTTCATTGTTCATCCCTGCTCCCTATTCATCATTGTTCACTGTTTCTCACTGAGCATCATCTTCGATTTTATGCTGTGTGTTAAGTGGCTCTGGAGTGGAGTGCAAATGGAGAGATGAGATCCCACAGAAGTCTCCTTTTTAATCACTCTGGCTCAGCAGAAATTTGGAGATGAGAACCCAGAGAGATCCTCCCCCTGCTTTCTTAATTACTTTGGAAGTCAACCACCTTAAATGTTCAAAAAAAAAATAAATGAGGGAAATGGTTTTCCAATGAGGAGGACAGGGCTTAATCTTACAAAGAAAGAAGATTCATATCAAAGTCTCTTCCATCAGGGTCTGTAGTTGTCTTGTAGTGGCTAATTTGAAGGAAAATGATGCATTAAGAGGAGTTTCTTCCACCCCACCCCATATTAAACAAAATACTCCGATAGAGCTAACATCAAAACCAACAATGCTGCTGACATTAATCTGAGATGGTGATTTTTAACCTACCAACAATAATAATAATGTGTTAACTTTATATGCTGCCCGACTTCCAGCGACTCTTGACTTTCCCTGATCTTGAAAAAGGCTAAGCCATGTCAGACTTGGTTAATAGTTGATGGGAGACTACCAGGGGATCCCAAGGCTGTAGACTGGGAAGTCAACAACTGCATGCCATTTCTGTACTGTACTGTTGTCAAGAAGAACACATGGATAGGACCATGGAGCAACCAGGGGCAAAGTTCAACTCAAGGGAATCTGTCCTCTGCATGTAGTACCACTTGGGAGAGATTGATGGTGGTATTACAATAATCCCCCTGTCTGCAGAAAATTGCAGGTCAAGTGTTGCAACTGGATGCTGTCCCAGGCACCCAACTCTCTCTTATCAACTGAAAATAATGGCCAAAAGTGTAGGACCATCAGATCTTGACTGCAATAATCCAGGTGGCCACTAGATGTCTCAAAAGAGTTAGAGGCTTTGCACTGCTTCGCTGCCAGCTAGTGGTCGCGTTGAGCATTGTAGCAGAGTTTTGAATCGCTTCATAAAAAGCTATAGCCCTTCTCCCAATACATTTCTTATTCTCCCGCTGACCTACTTTCTTCAAACTTCTCTTAAGAAGATTTATACCTAAGCTGGGCCGAACCAAACTGGGTCTCAGTCCTAGAACCTCGGCCCCATATCAGAAAAGAGTTCTTCCACCATGCAGAGGACCTTCCACAGCGGAGGACAACACTACATGGAGAGATCGAACAAGGGCATCCACCGCAGGTCTTTGTGACATCACAACCCAAATCCCACCCTGGAGCCCCAACATTTTACACAACTATGTAATTTGTGTTTATTTGTCACCTACCCCCGTTGCGCTCTTCTGTGCTCATGAGTCCGAATCTTCCTTGGAGCATCCTACGTTATTTCAGAACCAGATCACTGCTTTGACTTGTTCTGAGATGAATGAACATTGCTGAACAACAATTAGTATCCTCTGAGATCTCAATATCTGGTTCCTAAGATTTGACAATGGTGTTGGACTAGGATTGGGGCGGCCCTGATTCAACCTCCTCATCCAGAGGTGACTTTCCACTACTCTCTCGGCCTGCCTACCTCACAGGATTGTTGGAGAGATTCCCAGTGGCCTCGGGAGAAAACATGGCAGAGAAAAACTTCACAAATCTAGAACTAAAATGAAATAAACCAAAGTGGAAAGCCATCGATCCAGAAATGCAGCAGGTAAGAAAAACAAAGTGAAGCTGAATTTAAAAAAAAAGGATTGCACCAAGAGAGGAAGCCAAGAAGGGAATGAACTAAATTCAAAAACAACGTGACTGGCTATTTATATCCAGTTTTGTCAAAAATCCAACAGGCTTAACAGTGAAGATCTCATTGTTTCCAATTATATTGACAGAAGTGGCAGATAAGGGAGCAGAATAACAACTTAAGAGTAAGGCTTCAGTGAAAGGATCGGATTTAGATTTCAGCCAAACCGAAAGTCCCTTTGGGATCTATGATAATGGCTTACATCCTGTCTTCCCTCCAGCAGCTGAAGATGACTTAGACGAGGATCTCTCTTCATTGTATTCCTCCACGCAACAACCTTGTAAGACGGAGCGGGCTAAGCGTGGGACTGGTCCAAAGCTGAGCTGGACTCAATCCTGGGCCTTCCCACTCTCAGCTCAGCATTTACACAACATGGCACAATCCCCTTTAGAGTAAACTACAAGCAGATGGGGGTTATCTTACAAAGACTGTCCCCTCCCTTCCTCTAGGAAAACTCCCAGAAATTCTAGCCCGTCCAATGTCCATTTACCCAAACGTGTCCCCCCAAGTCCACTGGGTTTACTTCCAGGTAAGCCTGCAGGAGATTGAAGTCTTTAAGACTTTACCCGTATAGAGAAAAAGCCAATTACAAATCTGTACTTTGTGCAAGATGCACGGCTATCACGCTTATAAACATTACCAAGCTTGGATGCACACGCGTCCAGAAAAAACATGGAATTTAAAAAATGAACTTTAATTTGAGCATTATATAGAAACGTAAGAGCAGCCCTGCTGGTTAACGGGATGCGTTAAGAAAGCCGAACAGAAAGGAAGAAAATGTTTCCTCCTGTTACTCCGTTACTAGTGTCATTGAATGGCAAACTGCCACTGGCTGTGGAGGTTCCATCGTGGCTAATATTGGTCAGTATACTTTTCCTCTGCATTCATTTCATTTCATTTCATTTCACTTCTATTTCATTGTCTTTCTATCATAGCACGGCATATTAT